TTGTTCTTATCAAAATCCAATTGTTTTCTTTCTAGCTTGTTTATCATAGAAACAAAGCCAATAATGAATGAACTAAATATGTCTGATTTTCCTCTATGCATTCGTTGGGATAATGCAGACTGAAAACAATGGATTTTGATAAGATCAGTAATTATTATACAGGCAACCACTGGATATGAGCAATCGCGCGCTCTGATTGGCTACCCTTCTACTAGGCTATCAAAGAAAATTCAAAATGGCCACCGACCGAATTGCTTAAGTTTCTTTAAAAAAAAACACCAAAAAACACACGCGCCATGTAAATTCCCGGTTGGGCATCCCGGATGCAGTTTACATTTCGCCTTACTCTGCTCCCGTGCGTCATCAACTTGTGTGCGCGAGCTCTTTCCGTTTCGTTTATAGTGATCAAAACAATAAAACGGAAAGAGCCCGCGCGCGAAGTTCGTGGAATAACTGTTAAATGTGGCGGGTCAGCGTGCTTTGAGCCGAGAGACCATGTTCAAACAAGCAAAGAAGTGAGCAGAATCACTTCACGAAATATAAAATAAATGAAATGAAAGTACCTATTTATATCAGTGTCATTTGAACTTGAATTTTCAGTAAAGCAGTGCCAAAACTTCTTCTCCTCTACTGACTATAGTCTAGTTAAACTTACAAATCCTTACAATTGACATTTCGAGGTGTGAGAATATACTTGGTTACACTGCTAGAATTAGAGCTAGCGACTTTTGCACATGCACTTTGTAAGCTCACGCAAAACAAGTAATCGAAGACAAATAATTTCTCGTGTGTATTTGACGCGATTCCTGGAATTAGCTTTACCATTTAGTTTCATTCAGCACTCATAGATATCAAATGAGAAAAAATCAATTATGTAAAATCGAAGTAACTGTGAAATTGATAATTCAGAATTCAATCGAGACAATGCCGATATTTTTTCCACTAACCATGTGGAAGTCGGTAGTAATCTCACGATTACTTTCGTCTTTTACATGGAAAGTACAACTACAACTTAACTAAATTAAAGGCGCTCAAGAAGCGCATGTGGTTTGTCCAAAGAAGTAATCAGAACGGACCAATGAAATGAACTTGTATATAAAATCAAGAAAGGGTATTTACCATGAACTTTGAAAATTTGTCAAAAGTGAAACGTAAATCCTCAGTACATATATACGAGAAATTATGCGCATGATGATCAGAAGGGCCTAAGGCAGTTTTCATAACTTTCAATTTTTGTACATCTTCGATTATTTTATTTAAAATTTTTGGTTTTATTAGTGTTGAAGGTTTTTAAGTAGTGTTTAAAAATCGAGTAGGAGTGTTTTATCAGGTATGAAAGCATGAGGCGTAGCCGAGTGCTTTTATACCTGATAAAACACGATCTACGAGTTTTTTGAACTGCTTAAAACACTCATGAACAATT